TCCTCTAATTCCTTGTATGTAGCCCAAAAGTTTTTATGGACTTGCATCCAGAATTCTAATTTTTTATTTTTTGGTACTGGGGATCGAACTTGGGTCCTTGAGCTTGCAAGGCAGGTGGTGGAACCATTGAGCTAAATCCTTGGCCTCGGAATTCTAATTTTAGTATCTGTAGCTGACTTTGCTAGTTTCTAGCTGTGAGATATTGGGTAAGTTATTTAATTAACCCAAGCCTCAGTTTCCTCGTCTGGAGAATGGGTATCTCAATTACAAGCATCACGAAGGTGAAACCAGATCTTGGTAACCAGATCACTCCCGCACTTAGTGAGAGTATAAACTGTGAGAGAAAGAAAAGATCCAGAGGTGTATTGAAGGGCTTCCTGGAGGAAGTGGCAGGAGGTTTGGGACTGAGCAGGTGAAGATAAAGAGGAGACATTTGAAGGCAACCAGACTGACCTGGATAAATGCTTAAGAAGCTACTTAAGGAGTATATGGTGTTCTGAGGTCTGGCTGCTCAGGTCCTAGAAAATACCTTTGGGAAATTCCCCAGGAAGAGAGACAGGGAAGAAAAGGCCAGTGTGGGGTACATTTCCCTGGAATTTGGGTTACTAGCTGCAATTTCTTCTTTGTTTTTTAGTGGTACTGGGGATTGAACTCAGGGCCTTGCGCTTGTGAGGCAGGCCAGCACCATTGAGGTAAATCCCCAGCCCATGCCTCCTTTTCAATAGCCACAAAACTGGAAATGGAGCTCTAGTGGATGGACGACAGGATGAATCAGCATGTGCCTTTAGCTGCAGGAATGGCTAGAAATGCACAAAATGATGCCTGAACTGGGTGTGGTAGTATCTGTAATCCTAGCACTTGGGAGGTTGAAGCAGGAGGATCACCACAAATTTGAGGCCAGCCTGGGCTATATAGTGTGTTCCAGGACAGCCTGAACTACACAGTAAGACCTCTCAACAAAACAAAACAACCCCCCACCCCAAAAGAACACCTGCCTATTGATTGCTAGCAGGGTTAGGCCTAAAGTCCTAGATCTGAATCAAAGAATCAGTTATAAAGGTTGGGGGCTTAGCTCAGTTATAGAGTGCTTACCCAGCATGAACTAAACCCTGGGTTTGATCTCCAGCAAAACACTCACACACCGCACACACACACACACACACACACACACACACAGTGCAATTATGAAAACACAAGAAAGAGTGAATGCACTTTAGTATCAGTTCCCGAGGAGAAGTTTGAGACGGAAGAGCAGAAAAGGGTCTGCTGTTAGTCCAAAAGCATATTGCACCTGTGGAGCTCAGCAAAGCCTAAGTCCTCTACAAAGTTACATTTTAATTGCAAGCAATAGAAAGCCAACTATAGGGTTGGGAGGGGAGCCTGGGCACCCCTTTCAGGTCTCCCCAGGCCAGTGCCCCCCCCCAGCCACGGTGCCTGAAATTCCAGAGTAGCCCTTAGCTGAGGGGATGCCTTGGGGAATGTGGGTCCCCCAGGGCTTGTGACCACAGGCAGACAGGTATCAGACACAAGGGCTCCAGCTTTGGAGCTGTGCTCTTTGGGCTGACCTTTGAGCTTTCCCTTCTGTCCTAATGCTTTTTTTTTTTTTTTTTTACCGTTGATTGAACTAGGGTCCTTGTGTGCTTGTAAGGCGGGCAGCGGCACCCCTGAGCTAAACCCTGGAGCCTCCCTTCACCTGTCCTGCTCGATTTCTTCCCTTCCAGGTTTTTCTTCCCTTGGTAAATCCTGCCCTTTGGGCCTCTGTTTCTAAAGACCCTCATCCAGGGCTGGGGATTTAACTCAGTGGTTCCGCTGCCTGCCTCAGAAACACAAGGACCAGAGTTCGATCCCCTGTACCAAAAACAAACAAAACCCACCCTCATCCAACACACCAAAGAAATCAAATAGCCACAAAATAACTGGGTCTGGGTGCCCCCCCCCACATTGAACTAGGGCCTTTGCACTGACTTGCAGCCCCTCCCCTTTGAGACAGAGTTTATTAAGTAACCCAGTTGTCCAGGCTGGGCTGGAATTTGAGATCCTTCTGCCTCAGCCTCTTAGGGCTCAGGTTCTCAAATAGTTATCTATGGTGGTCTTTTTCTGTATCTCAGCTCCGATTTTTTTTTTTTTTTTTTTTTTTTTTTATTTGGTACAGGGGATCGAACTCAGGCCCTTGCGTTTGCAAGGCAGGCAGCGAAACCACTGAGATAAATCCCCGGCCAGCTCCGATTATTTTTACTTATTTACTGTATTGCTTTATTCTCCCAGTGGCCCTTCCTCTTCACTCCACGTAGAAACCAGAAGGTTCAGAGATTTATTCCAAGGATTTCACCGCAGTAATTCTAAGGAAGTCTCAGGACTCATTTTGAGTGGACTATCTTCAGCCACGTGGCCTTCCAAAACCAATCAATGCAAAGGGTGCTGATCGATCGGCCTTGCTTGGATTGGTCAGCGCTGGCTGCTCAGTTCACTACCAGGAACGTGAGTGTATGAAGTCATTCCCAATTCTGCCACAAGGATGGAGGGTGAGGAGGAGTGGCTCCTTGGAGGAAACTAAAGTCCCTTTACCAGAGAATATTCTGTGGAAGGACCAAAATAACACACGTCCCCAGTAGATTCTAACAAACTGAAAGATGTCCACATGAGGTCATTAAGATAAGGCATTCCGGAGATATCATCATCGGAGTGAGGGGTAGGAAGAGGGGACTTCATCGTCTTGGTGGGGTGGGAAGTGTGGGAAAGGGCTGAGACGGGATGAAATGCGTTCTTGAAAGCTTCAAAGGACAGTTCAGGGTCTAGGGTCAGAGATTTGAGGGAGGCAGAACATCTATAAAGAAATGTGTAGGAGTGTTTTGCATAAACACAGCACACATGTATGTATATAAAACATACACAATTTAAGTTGTCTGATCCCCCCATCCCCCAAGAAAAAGTATAGAGCTAGCTATATGTGAGGTGGGCCCTTGCCCTGCAGTCTGCCGTGAACGGGTATATTGCTGTCCTGTGACTAACAGGACACACTGGCACTTCCTTCTCTCTTTTTTTTTTTTCTTGAAGGCCGTGTCTGCACTGACGGACGTTGTCCAGGACTGTGCCCCCTGGTTTCGTCCAGGGGAAATCTGCTCCACCCCCGCAACTGCACCTTGCAGTACTTTTTCCTGAAAGGTCAGGTCGGCCTCTGCACCTAGGTTGTCCTGGACACTTGGGGGAGACACAGGCCCAACCCCTCCCCCTTTTGTGTAAGCAACCCCCCCCCCGCGGTGACCTCATCTGTCTGTCTTACCCATTCCACATCTTACTCAAGAAAATATTTGTTGAATAAATAATTTATCAGGGCTTCTGTGGAAGAATTTTTAGCCTGAGGGGAAAGGGTGACTAAGGAGCCACAGAGTCTTTCCTACTCCTCTTAGATTCTGCCTCTAGACCCTCGTACAGAACTCGAAGATGATTTCTAGATGCATAATTGGGAACAGCAGAGCCACTTTGGCTTTAAGGGCTGTTGGTAGAGTAGCGCCCGCCTCTGTCCTCTACTCTGGATTAACACACGTTGCCTGGTTCAGTGTGGTGCCTTTATCTGTCATCCCAAACCCAGAAAGGCGCACCTGCCCGCTTCCTCCTGCTAAACTAATCCTCCCCCCTCCTTTGTGGAATAAACCCAGTTCCTGGGAGCAGTGAGCAAAGGTTGCCCTCTTTTCCATCCCCACACCGAGTTGGAGTTATTTCTCTTTTGGGGATGCTGGTTAGGGTGGGGACGGTTTGCCTGCAACGGGGCAGGAAGGGGCCTCTGCCCCCAGGCAGGTCTTATCACAATGGGCCTCGTTGAACTCGTTTCTGTCTCCCCTGAGTCTGTATTCTTTGTACATGTGTGGCCTGTCACACACACACACACACACACACACACACACTCGGCCTCTTCCTTACACGTCAGCATTTTATAATCATTTCTTTATTTCGGTTTTAGGAGACAGAGTCTCGCTATGCAGTTCGGGCTGGCCTTGAACTTGCTATGTAGCCCAGACTAGCTAGCTTCGAATTCGAATTCGCGGCGATCCTCTTCTGCCTTAGCCTCCTGAGTAATGGGATTGCACCGGACAGTATTTTCGGACTGCCCGAGTCTCCTAACTCTTCTAATACCGTAGTTCCGTTGCAGACGCCCTTCCTGGGGTCTGCAGAGACCAGGTCTCGGGTTGCCCCAGCCCTTTTCCTTCTCCTAAGCCCGAACGAAGCTCTTTCGCCAGTGATGATCTCAGCACTCGAGACCCGCAGAGAGGCAGTCAATGTCAGCACCCTCCGTCACCGTTGGGAACGGATTCGAAGAAACAAGGCGGCGGACCTCGGGAGGCTGGGGCGTAACGGGAATTTGGGGCTCCATGCCAGAGCGAAATTTATTGTCTCCTTTTGGAACGCCTGAAAGTGAAATAATTAATTTAGGAGCCCCCAGAGCCCAGCGCCCCTAAATACCGAGGACTGGGATGGATTCTGGAGGATTACTGCTGTAGGACCTGGAAGTGGGCGCCGACCCTTTGGCAGCATAGCCGGTCCGCTGCACTTCTCCGGACAGGACGACCAATGGGTTGCGGCCTCTTTAAGGCCTTAGAGTCCCGCCTCCGCCCGCTGGCCTCCTCCCAACTCCTCACCGCGGCTCGTCCAGTTCCAGACTTCCCTCGGCGATGAGGTCATCTTCTCGCTGCCCATTGGCTGGGCCTTGCTGTCAGTCACAGGAAGTTGCGCCGCCGTCCACACCTCTCTCATTCTCCTTCCTTCTCCGAACTCCCCCTCAGTCAGACGAACCCGGCCTCGATAAGGACTCTGATTGGCCGGCGCTGCTGTCACTCCTTCGGCGGGCAGTACTGGAGGCGGGAGGCGGGAGGAGGGAGGCGGGTGTGG